AACACTGCTGAGAGGCTGGGTTCTAGCCCTGGGTCTGGCTGTCTGTCTCTCAGGGGGTTCATTGTGGCCCTGTCATAGACAGTGAGCCAACACTGCTGAGATCTTGGGTTCGAGCCCTGGGTCTGGGCGTCTCTCTCTCAGGGGGTTCATTGTGGCCATGTCAGAGACACTGAACCAACACTGCTCAGAGCCTGGGTTCGAGCCCTGGGTCTGGTTGTCTGTCTCTCAGGGGTTCTCAATGGCCATGTCAGAGACACTGAACCAACACTGCTGAGATCCTGGGTTCGAGCCCTGGGTCTGGGCGTCTCTCTCTCAGGGGGTTCATTGTGGCCATGTCAGAGACACTGAACCAACACTGCTCAGAGCCTGGGTTCGAGCCCTGGGTCTGGTTGTCTGTCTCTCAGGGGTTCTCAATGGCCATGTCAGAGACACTGAACCAACACTGCTGAGATCCTGGGTTCGAGCCCTGGGTCTGGGCGTCTCTCTCTCAGGGGGTTCTCAATGGCCATGTCAGAGACACTGAACCAACACTGATCAGATCCTGGGTTCGAGCCCTGGGTCTGGGCGTCTATCTCTCTCAGGAGGTTCATAATGGCCGTTTCGGAGAGATTGATCCAGAACTGCTGAGATCCACGGTTCAGAATCAGAATGTTTATTTATAAAGGAAGGGAGCTTCACAACAACATCTGTGCTGCGGTGATCCATCAACCCTCGCTGCTACTGCTGCTGCTGCCTCCACAGCACTGGATGGTGACATGATACCTGCAGCAGCGTCATCACCAACACAGCCACAACCATGTCCACAACCACCACCACCACCGCCACAACTACCACAACCACAGCCACCACCACCATCACCACCACCGCCACAGCTATCACAACCACCGCCACCGCCACCATCACCACCACCGCCACAGCTACCACAACCACCGCCACCTCCATAGCCACCACCGCCACCACAACCACCATCACAACCACCGCCACAACCATCACAACCACAGTCACCCCACTGATAACACTGGTCAACAAAAAAAAAATTCTGGCCTGGACTTTTGCAGCTGTTTTAGACTAATTTCAGGGTGCTGATTCCAAATCTGATCTCAGATTTGCTCTATCACATCTCATTTTTATGCTATCGGCATACCCCATTTTCATTGATTTTACCCGAAATTAACTCTGTCACTTATGATTGCAAGTTGTTGCGAGTCAGTGACTGCTTTAGTGTTAAAATATGGTGCTGTATTTTTAGGATAGTGTGTTTATAATATCATGTTATGTAGATATCCACATTTATTAAATATTTTTCTTCTACAGCTTTTATTGAAAATGCAATATTTGATATCTCAAAAACCTGATGTGATAGACAAAAACCTATGCCAGATTTGGAATCACCACCCCAAATTTACCTTAGACGCGTTGGAATACCTTATGCCAGAAAAAGTGTGTTGACCAGTGTAATTATAGAATTCGTGGGTAATAGGTTGGCGACCAGATGAAGCTCTCTTCCGGAATACTAATTGTATTTAAAAATAAAACCGCGTGTATATATTTACTTGTTTCGGCAGCATTATTATATTTTTGTAGGTTTTACACATTCTTCACGACAATCGTCTTGTCAGCTGGGGCGGGCGATATCTCTTGCTGATGTTTTTTGTGCCGCGGGGGAGATCAAAGTGTGAAACGTAAGAATAGGTTTGACCCTTTACATGGCCATAAAACAGGTGTTAGGATGCTACAAAAATACCGCATGTACTATTCACCTCTTGGCGTTCACCGGTCTGACGCTGGTGACACGGGGCCATCAAGAAAGCTGTCTCTGATGTAAGCCAATGCAACACATTATTACACTGGTCAACAAAAAAACTATTCTGGCCTGGACTTTTGCAGCTGTTTTAGACTAATTTCAGGGTGCTGATTCCAAATCTGATTTCAGATTTTCTCTATCACATCTCAATTTTATGCTATCGGCATACCCCATTTTCATTGATTTTACCCGAAATTAACTCTGTCACTTATGATTGCAAGTTGTTGCGAGTCAGTGACTGCTTTAGTGTTAAAATAGGGTGCTGTATTTTTAGGATAGTGTGTTTATAATATCATTTATGTAGATATCCACATTTATTTAATATTTTTCTTCGGCAGTTTTTATTGAAAATGCAGTATTTGATATCTCAAAAACCTGATGTGATAGACAAAAACTGATGCCGGATTTGGAATCAGCACCCCGAAATTACCTTCAAACCGTTGGAATACCTTATGCCAGAAAAAGTGTGTTGACCAGTGTCATCAGAGCAATGTTTGTCTGCATGTTCACCACAAGTACCGAGTGCGATTAATTCAGTAACTTGATCCCATGCAAAGGGCTTCTATTTAATGTTTGAGCATCTTAACACAACTCCTGTTCTATTGCCAGAAAGGGGTAAAAACCGACTCTTATTTTTCATGACGGGACATCCGTCCTCCGCTGCAGCTCATCATTTGCGCCAACATCAACGAAACCGGCCTCTCCACCAATAAATTACTCGAGATTACAATGTACACAAATGCGTGTTTCGCCCCGGAAGAGTTAAAACATCCGCTGCTTATCGACCACGACCACCACCGGCACCAACCAACCACTCTGTAGTGGCCGGGGCGAAGGTTCGTCACCCGAAAGCGTCACGAATTGTCCAGTGATCTCACCGTGACGCGAGGTGTTAACTACCTCGCCTGGTATACAGGAGGTCGTGAGTTCGAACTCAACCCTGACGCCTGCTGTTGTATATTTGGAGTTTTCTTCTCTCTCTCTCATCATCATCACGGTGGCTAGGAGATGTTAACTACCTCGCCTGGTACGCAGGTGGTTGTGGGTTCGAACTCAACCCTGACGCCTGCTGTTGTATATTTAGAGTTTGCGTGTCTCTCTCTCTCTCCCCGTGGCGAGATGTTAACTACCTCGCGTGGTACGCAGGAGATTGTGGGTTCGATCCCCAACCCTGACGCCTGCTGTTGTATATTTAGAGTTTGCGTGTCTCCCCGTGGCGAGATGTTAACTACCTCGCCTGTTATACAGGAGGTTGTGGGTTGGAACTCAACCCTGACGCCTGCTGCTGTATATTTGGAGTTTGCGTGTCTCTCTCTCTCCCCGTGGCGAAATGTTAACTACCTCGCCTGGTATGCAGGAGGTCGTGGGTTCGAACTCAACCCTGACGCCTGCTCTAATATATTTGGAGTTTGCCTGTCTCTCTCTCCCCGTGGCGAGATGTTAACTATCTAGCCTGGTACGCAGGAGGTTGTGGGTTCGATCCCCAACCCTGATGCCTGCTGTGTATTTGGAGTTTGCGTGTCTCTCTCTCTCCCCGTGGCGAGATGTTAACTACTTCGCCTGATATGCAGGAGATTGTGGGTTCGAACTCAACCCTGACGCCTGCTGCTGTATATTTTGAGTTTGCGTGTCTTTCTCTCCCCGTGATCGCATGGATCTTTCCTCCCGATCTTCGGGGTTTTCCCTCCAAATTTAGAACCAACATCATTCGTTTAGAGTAATTTGACTGCTGCTGTACATTGCCACGCAACGATTATCAGCCCAATTCGCCGTGCTATGGTTTGTGTTGGCCAGGTCGCTTCTGAATAAGAGCTACGTAGCTCAGTGGGCTATAACCTGGTAAAAAAAATAGTTTATAATTTAGTTTAATACTCGTGGGAGGAAACCCACGTGCGCGGGGAGGGGGGTAGCTACACTCTTTTCCGCCTACAGATGGAACAGATGGATTATTCACACGCGACCTGCTGCGCCGCCTTCTTGTGCTGAACCTCGCAAAGTGGCGCTGCATCTGCTTCAAGTGGCCTGCCGCAAGATGCATACTCTTTGGTTTATTCGGAAAAGTCACGTAGGTAAAAAAATTAACCCGTAAAAACAAAGTTTTTCACTATAAATCCTTTATATGCGTGGCGGCTAGAGTCCTCTCGTCCTCTGGCTTGAGATGGCTGCCACCTATGGGTCAGATGATCGCCTGCCACCATTAAGCAATTGGTAATTAAATATCTTTTTTTTTCCTAAAAAGTGTAAAATTTTGGACATTTTTTTTCACGAAAATTAATTGTCACGCACAACGAGTCTGTGTGGAAAATGTCAGCTCGATTGGATCATGGGAAGTGGGTTAAAAAACGACCGAAAGATTTGCACGGTCATAAGCGCGCAAGCAAGTGAACTTAATATAAAGGATTAAAAAATACATTAAGATAAAAACAAAAAAATTAAATCACGACGATTCGGAAGCAACACAAGCTTCCGTCTTCAGGTGGAACCGTCACAGCTAAATTACTGCATCATTTTTAATTTTTTTTTTACCTACGTGACTTTGCCGAGAAAAAAAACAAAGAGTATGGATCCTTGCAGCCATGAAAACTTCAAATCCAGAATGCCGCAAGATGGTTCTGTCGCACGGCTAACAAAACCCAGCATTTGTTTAAACTCTTCGATTTCACCTAATTAGTGACAAATCTTACGTGGATGCTTATAGCGGACGAATTACAAATATATCACGCCCCATCATCCCATCCCTTTATCCCATTCCCACCATCTCGAACAATCTTCCCATCCTATCATCTCATCCAATCATTAGGTCCCATCATCCTGTCCAATGACCCCATCCCATCACCCGATCTCATCACCCCATCTCATCATCCCATCCCATCATTCCGTCCCATCATCCCATCCCATCACCCCATCCCATCACCCGATCTCATCACCCCATCTCATCATCCCTTCCCACCATCCCATCCCATCATTCCGTCCCATCATCCGATCCCATCACCCCATCTCATCATCCCATCTCATCATCCCATCCCATCATTCCGTCCCATCATCCCATCCCATGACCCCATCCCATCATCCCATCCCATCATTCCGTCCCATCATTCCGTCCCATCATCCCATCCCATGACCCCATCCCATCACCCCATCTCATCATCCCTTCCCATAATCCCATCCCATCATCCCATCCCATCATCCCATCCCATCACCCCATCCCATCACCCAGTCCCCGCCATCCCGTCTCAGTAGCGTGGCAGTGAGTCCATGGAGTAGAGTGGCGCCTGGCTGGAGCTCTCTTTGGGCCTCTCCTTGCGGCATGTCCCGCACAGGACGCCCACGAAGCCGATGACGGCCTGCACCAGGCACAGGGCCACCTCCACGGCGCCCACGGCCATCATGATGGAGAAGAGGGAGATGTGCCACTCGACGATCCACACGGGCGCCTTGCAAATGCCCCACAGCGACGAGTTGAAGAGGTAGCTCGTGCTGAGAGACGGCAGGGGGGAGGGGGGGTGGGCGAGAGGCATACGGACACAGGGAGATGAAGCACGGGATCGATTGAGGCGTCTCAAGAGATTCAGGGCGCCACGGTGGCGAGATGTTAACTGCCTCGCCTGGTATACAGGAGGTCGTGGGTTCGATCCCAGAACCTATGAGATGTCATCTCCATCGCCTGGTGTACAGGAGGTCGTGGGTTCGATCACGACCCTAACGCCTTTTGTATACTTGGAGTTTGCGCCATTATGAACCCCCTGTAAGAGAGAGAGAGCCAGACCCAGGGCTCAAACCCAGCATCTCATCTGTGCTGACTCAGTCTTTCTGACACAGCCATGAGCAGAATTTGTATTAATGCTGGAAGAATCCGATGCGCTGTAAAGCTCTTTTCCACAGATGTCCTGGAAGGGGGCGCGGGGTCAGAACGGTACAACGAATAAACACAACACAAACACACGCGAGAGGAGGGCAGCATATAGGAAGGACAAAGAAATCACGTGTACAAAGGGGGCGCCCATAAATGACGTCACGCGATTTTTGACGATTTTTGACCCCCCCCCCTTCGTCACACGACGTCACAAAAGTCAGACGCCCCCCGCAAAAATAACATCACAAAGCTCTGCCACCCCGCACAAAAAAATAAAACATGCTTCAAATCGCTTTAAACTATTGTCATTGTAGTGCGTATTTAATGTGGCGCTGCACTCTGATGTTGTAGGCGAAAACATTTATTAAAAAGTCTATTTAATTAAGTAGAACGTGTTGTCTATATTTATTTAAAGTTGCGCATTTTGATGTCACGTCACATTTTTCAACCCCCCCTCGTCACACATCTTCACAAATGTCTGCCCCCCCCCCAGGTGCGTGACGTCATTTATGGACGGCCCCAAAGTGATACACGAATAGAAACTAACCCATTATTGCGTCTCGATGTAAAGCTTTCGTGACTGCAGGGATTCATCTTCTTGGTTCTTTCGGTAAAGTCACGTAGAAGGGAAGTAATAAAATAATAATAAAAATTAGTGAGAATTAGTTTATTATATAATATTATTCAATTATTTTATTTTATTATTTTTATTATTTTATTACTTCCCTTCTACGTGACTTTACCGAAAGATTTCGATTTAAAGCTTTCGTGACTGCAGGGATTCATCTTCTTGGTTATTTCGGTACAGTCACGTAGAAGGGAAGTAATAAAATAATAAAAATAAAACATAATAAAATAATTCTCACGACGTTTCGGCCACAACGCAAGCAGCCGTCTTCAAGAAGACATTATTGCCGTCTGTTACGAACTCTCCCGCTCCCTCCCGAGGCGCTTACTCGAGGATCTGGAAGTCCCACTTGTCGATCTTCCCGAAGGGGTAGTCCCACTGCTCGCTGCTTCCGCTCTTGAAGAGGCACTTGGGGCCCTCTACCAGAGCCACGGTGGAGACCACGAGGCAGTAGAGGGCGCCCGCGACGCCCACCAACGACAAGAGGACGGACGTCAGCATCTGTGGAGGAGACGGAGTGGCGCTGTTGGGGCGAGGTTGTGGCCCTGCTGCTGCTGGTGTTGTTGTTGTTGTTGCTCCGTTGGTGGTGTTGCACAAACGACAACAACCACAACAACACTGCACCATAGACTCAAAACTGCTCATAGACTCAAAACTGCCCATAGACGCAAGCAGCTGTCCTCAGGTAAAGAATGAAACACCACCAAGCTTGGAGCGCTCCAAGCTTGGTGGTGTTTCATTCCTCACCTGAGGACGGCTGCTTGCGTTGTGGCCGAAACGTCGTGAGAATTATTTTATTATATTAATTTTTTTTATTATTTTATTATTTTCTTTCTACGTGACTTTACCGAAAGAACCAAGAAGATGAATCCCTGCAGTCACGAAAGCTTTAAATCGAAACTGCCCATAGACTCAACACTGCCCATAGACTCAGCACTGCACCATAGACTCAACACTGCCCATAGACTCAACACTGCCCATAGACTCAACGCTGCCCATAGACTCAACACTGCCCATAGACTCAACACTGCCATAGACTCAGCACTGCCCATAGACTCAGCACTGCCCATAGACTCAACACTGCCCATAGACTTAACAATGCCCATAGACTCAACGCTGCCCATAGACTCAACGCTGCCCATAGACTCAACACTGCCCATAGACTCAACACTGCCCATAGACTCAACACTGCACCATAGACTCAACACTGCCCATAGACTCAACACTGCCCATAGACTCAACACTGCACCATAGACTCAACACTGCCCATAGACTCAACACTACACCATAGACTCAACACTGCCCATAGACTCAACACTGCCCACAGACTCAACACTGCCCATAGACTCAACACTGCACCATAGACTCAACACTGCACCATATACTCAACACTGCCCATAGACTCAATCCTGCCCATAGACTCAACGCTGCCCATAGACTCAACACTGCCCACAGACTCAACACTGCCCATAGACTCAACACTGCACCATAGACTCAACACTGCACCATAGACTCAACACTGCCCCTCTCTTAAAGCTTCACCTCTTCTCCATTGCTGAATCCCTTCCTCGTCCGTCGCCCCTCCACTTCTTCCCGTCCCTCCCCAGACCACCACCACTACCACCACTACTACTACCACCACCACCACTACCACCAACACCCAGACCACCACTACCACCACCCTGACCACTACCACCACCACCCAGACCACTACCACCACCACCACCACGACCACTACCACCAACACCACTACCACCAACACCCAGACCACCACTACCACCACCCTGACCACCACCACCACCACTACCACCACCACCACCCAGACCACTACCACCCAGACCACTACCCCCAACACCCAGACCACTACCACCACCACCACGACCACTACCACCACCACCACTACCACCAACACCCACACCACTACCACCACCACCCAGACCACCACTACCACCACCCTGACCACTACCACCACCACCCAGACCACTACCACCACCACCACCACCACCACCCAGGCCACTACCACCACTACCACTACCACCACCACCCAGACCACCACCACTACCACCACCACTCACCCCACATCTGTTGGAGCAGCAGCCGTCCCGAGACCCGGCTCCGATGAGCTGCATGGCCGGCACGATAATCTACAGGGCGACTCCCATCAGAGGCGACTCATGGGATTATTAACATCACCATCATCATCACCATCATTATCATCACCATCATCATCACCATAATCATCACCATCATCATAATCATCATCATCACCATCATCATCAACATCACCATCATCACCATCATCATCACCATAATCATCACCATCAGCATAATCATCACCATCATCATCAACATCACCATCATCACCATCATCATCACCATCATCATCACCATCATCATCACCATCATCACCATCATCATCATCACCATCATCACCATCATCACCATCATCACCATCATCATCACCATCATCATCAACATCACCATCATCACCATCATCACCATCATCATAATCATCACCAACATCACCATCATCATAATCATGACCATCATCACCATCATCACCATCAGCAGCATCACCATCAGCAGCAGCATCACCATCAGCAGCATCACCATCATCACCATCATCATCACCATCATCATCAGCAGCATCATTCGGCATCATCACCATCATCATCACCATCATCATCAGCAGCATCATTCGGCATCAGCAAGGGCAATATTCATAAATAATTCTACAAACACCACCACCACCGTTACCACGTCAAACAAATACAACATTCATGAATAGTACAACCACCGCTACCACCACCACAACCATCATCACCATCACAACCACCACAACCACCTCAACCACCACCACGAGATGACCACTCCGCCTGGATTGCAAGTCCAGTGTGCTCACCATCATACTCACCATCATACTCACCATCATACTCATCATCATGCTCACCATCATACTCACCATCATACTCACCATCATGCTCACCATCATACTCACCATCATGCTCACCAGCGTGCTCACCATCATACTCACCATCATGCTCACCATCATACTCACCATCATACTCACCAGTGTGCTCACCATCATACTCACCATCATACTCACCATCATGCTCACCATCATACTCACCATCATGCTCACCAGCGTGCTCACCATCATACTCACCATCATGCTCACCATCATACTCACCATCATACTCACCAGTGTGCTCACCATCATACTCACCAGTGTGCTCACCATCGCGACTCGCCTACCGTCGCCACTCACCCAACCGCCATCACCACCACCATCATCACCACCATCACCACCACCACCATCATCACCACCATCACCACCATCATCACCATCACCACCATCACCATCACCACCATCACCACCACCACCATCATCACCACCATCACCACCGCCATCATCACCATCATCACCACCACCTCCACCATCACCACCATCACCACCATCCCCATCAAGACCACCACCATCACCACCATCCCCACGACCATCATCACCATCACCACCACCATCATCACCACCACCTCCACCATCACCACCTCCACCACCACCACCCACCACCACTCACCAGCAGCCCTCCTCCGGCAATGCCTGCCATGTACCAGGTGAAGTCGGAGAGGTGACCCTGTTCCAGGTGCGTCGCCTCGGCGTTGGGGAAGAAGAGCAGCACGTTGGCCACGATGGCCAGGAGAGCCATGGGGACCAGGGCCCCGCCGATGACCATCGTGCACTTGCCCGTGCACATTTTTCCCAGGTCACCCACACGCGCGCAGACGGTGTTTTGCTGTTTTTGCGATCCCACGCGCACACGCACGCACACACGCACACGCACACACGCACGAACACACGTGCACACTTACACACACAAACACGCACACACGTACACACGCACACACACACACGCGCACACGCACGAACACACGTGCACACACGCACAAACACGCGCACACACTTACACACACGAACACACGCACACACGCACACACACACACGAACACACGTGCACACACGTACACACGTACACACACACACGTGCACACACGTACACACGTACACACACACGCACACACGCACAAACACGTACACACGCACACGTACACACACACAAACGAACAGACGTACGCACACGCACACACACACACGCACACACGTACACACACACACACGCACACACACACACGCACACGTACACACACACGCACAAACACGCGCACACGCACACACAACAGCAACAAATATCACAACAACGGTCCACGCAGCCTCCGTTCACTCCACCACCACCACCGTTCCACCTCTTCCAAAAATAACAACAACAACAAACAAGAACCCCTTTACGCGGAGCGGAAACCGAAAACCGGTTAAGAGGAGCAAAGACGGCGCGTCTCGGTGGATGGATGTGAAAGTGCTGTTGTGACGTCCGCCTGTGTTTGCGAGTGTAGCGAAGTTCGTGGTGAGTGTGTGCGTGTTGATTGTGTGCGGTAGGGCGTGGTGCAGGCCACCCTACACCCCCCTTGTCGTAACCGTGCCGACCTTCACAGGTGCTTGCTACTCGCTCCCAGCACTTGCCCCACAACAATCTGTTAAAGGGCCGTCCATAAATGACGTCACGCGATTTTGGACGATTTTTTATCCCCCCCCCCCTCAAATATGACGTCACAAAAAAAAACATGCTTCAAATCGCTTTAAACTATTGTCATTGTAGTGCGTATTTAATGTGGCGCTGCACTCTGATGTTGTAGGAGAAAACATTTATTAAAGAGTCTATTTAATTAAGTAGAACGTGTTGTCTATATTTATTTAAAGTTGCGAATTTTGACGTGACGTCACATTTCTCAAACACCCCCCCCCCCTCGTCACACATCGTCACAAATGTCTGAATCTCCCCCCCACCCCCCTAGGTGCGTGACGTCATTTATGGACGGCCCCTAAGGTTATATGGGAGATATTTGTCTTTTTTTTCCTGTGCGTGCGTTAAAGGCTGTTCAGGGGGTGGGGGTATTTGTGAGTGAGCGGCACTGCGCTACGAACCCGGCCACCCGAGTTCCCCCTTAGGTCGACTCAGCCTCAAACGAGCACCCGGGACGGTGTGTCAACAACGTCGCCCGCTCGGTGATGACAAAGGCGGCCGAGGCAGCGGGGTGCTCGTCAGAGGTCGCAACCGGGTACCCGATACCTGTACCCTACCCGATACCCGGCTACCCGTACCCGGCTGGGTACAGGTACGGGTACCCGTTTGCGACCCCGGTGCGGCCGGGTACGGCTACGGGTAGGCCGTAAGTCACTGGTGAGTCACCGTTCGTCACTCATTTCGGGTAGGGTACGGGTACGGGTAGGGAACGGGTACTCGTACCCGGCCGGGTACGGGTACGGGTACCCATTTGTGACCCTGGTGCAGTCGGGTACGGGTACGGGTAGACCGTGAGTCACTGGTGAGTCACCGTTTGTCACTCATTTCGGATAGGGTACGGGTAGGGAACGGGTACCCGTACCCGGCTGGGTACGGGTACGGGTATCCGTTTGTGACCCTGGTGCAGTCGGGTACGGGTACGGGTAGGCCGTGAGTCACTGGTGAGTCACTGTTTGTCACTCATTTCGAGTAGGGTACGGGTAGGGGTAGGGAACGGGTACCCGTACCCGGCTGGGTACGGGTACGGGTATCCGTTTGTGACCCTGGTGCAGTCGGGTACGGGTACGGGTAGGCCGTGAGTCACTGGTGAGTAACCGTTTGTCACTCATTTCGGGTAGGGTACGGGTACGGGTAGGGAACGGGTACTCGTACCCGGCCGGGTACGGGCACCCATTTGTGACCCTGGTGCAGTCGGGTACGGGTACGGGTAGGCCGTGAGTCACTGGTGAGTCACTGTTTGTCACTCATTTCGAGTAGGGTACGGGTAGGGGTAGGGAACGGGTACCCGTACCCGGCCGGGTACGGTTCGGGTACCCATTTGCGACCCTGGTGCGGCCGGGTACGGGTGCGGGTAAGGAATCAAAACCCGTTTGCGACCTCTGGTGCTCGCCAACCCAGCCCCGTTGCCGCATGTGAACAGCACTTGCCCCAAACGACTGTTCGAGGCTATACTGGGTGGTAGTGCGTAGGCGGAGGTGGGGGTGGCATCTTTGTCTTTGTGTTTCTTGTTCCAAGGCAAACACCGTGTCTGGGTCCTGTGCAAAGGTTGCGAGCGATAACTCGAGGCGCGTCTGGTGCGGTGCGAGCTAAAAATGCATCGACATCGGCAGGCAAGGGCATAAACTCACAATCCCCTCCACCATCACCCACCACCACCCACCCTCTAAGAAAACCATTGCCGCTATACGCCTGCCTCGTTTCACAATCAGTTCAATCGCTCGCGTCTTGTACATTGCACCCTCCATCACCACCCCGCCCCCCGTCTCCCGCTACCCCCCCCCCTCCCCACACTGATCAAACTATTAAAATACATCATGGGACCTCCTTTGCCAGTACCAAAATATACTAATAGGGTTTTTCCCCTTTTTTCTGGCAACAAAAAACTGACACCTTTTTGCAAGGAATCATGCTTACATTATCAGAGTATTGTTTTTTGTTTGCATTTGACTGCAAGTATTGTGGTTAATGTAAGCATGATTCCTTGCAAAAGGTGTCAGTTTTTTGGTGCCAGATAAAAGGGGAAAATCCCTATCAGTATATTAAAATACAGTTCGATTCTCGATTATACTGGTAGGATCCACCTGGTTCCACCAGCCCACAGGGGATTATTGTGTCCGTCCGTCCGTCGTGCATCCAAAATTGGGAAGGGTCGGGCTGGGTGGAGAGGGGAGGGTGGGGCTGGGTGGGGAGGGTGGGGAAGGGCTGGGTGGGGAGGGAGGGGTGGGGCTGGGTGGGGAGGGGCTGGTCACCCCGTGGTGCCCTTATAAAACTCAACGTTCAACCTACTCACGCCGGCTTGTGCCCGCCCTCACAGTCGGGCATATTTGCGGAATACACCACGCCGCCGTTGACCCTGGCCATTGACCGAGCAACCCAACGTTCCTACCAGCTCCCTCCGCAGGAATGTGTTACGCGCTCATGGTGGGAAGGACGGCAGCGGATAATTAAAAATCGCGGATAATTTAAAACAACGTGTAACCGTTTTCCACGGATCTTTATGCCAACAATCCCCCCGCCCCCCCCCCTCTAATATAGGTGTCAATTATGTTAAAGTTAACAAAATTGAATTTCGATTTAAAGCTTTCGTGACGGCAGGCATTCATATTCTTTCTAGATTTGAAGCTTTCGTGACTGCAAGGAATCATATTCTTAGGTTTTTTTGGTAAAGTCACGTAGGTAAAACATCAAAATTAATGAAAATTAAATAAAATAAAAACAAAAATCACGACGTTTCGGAGGCAACACAAGTCTCCGTCATCAGGTGGGACCGTCACAGCCAGATGCAGCTGATCTGGCTGTGACGGTCCCACCTGATGACGGAGACTTGTGTTGCCTCCGAAACGTCGTGATTTTTGTTTTTATTTTATTTTATTTTCATTAATTTTGATGTTTTGCCTACGTGACTTTACCGAAAAAAACCTAAGAATATTCATATTCTTGGTTCTTTCGTGAAGTCACGTAGAAGGGAAATAATAAAATGATAAAAATAAAACAATAAAATTGTCACCACGTTTCGATTGCAACACTTACAAGAATAACAATGTTGTATAACTGTTTATAGATTATTAGTTTGGGCTTAACGGAAAAATGTATGAGTTATTACTTTAAGTCAAACTCTACGTTGCGTGGTTAATCCGCATACCAGATAAATTCGGCCTACTGGATGTATTAATGGGACTTTTTAGCCAGTATCCAAAATAATGAAAAATAAGAATAGGCTTTAACCCTTCTGGCAATAAAACCGAAGGTGCTAAGATGTTCAAAGGCCAAATAGAGACATTTTTGCAAGGCATCAAGCCAGCCACACCTACTTGTAGTAAAACACTTACACAATCACGATCTGATCATTCATGATAAAGGTTTTTGGGTTAGATCGTGTAAGGGGCCGTCCATAAATGACGTCACGCACCTAGGAGGGGGGGTGGGGGTCAGACATTTGTGACGATGTGTGACGAAGGGGGGGGGGAGTTTGAGAAATGTGACTTCACATCAAAATACGCAACTTTAAATAAATATAGACCACACGTTCTATTTCATTAAATAGACTTTTAATAAATGTTTTCTCCTACAACATCAGAGTGCAGCGCCACATTAAATACGCACTACAATGACAATAGTTTAAAGCGATTTGAAGCATGTTTTATCTTTTTTTTGGAGGGGGGCAGAGCTTAGTGACGTCATATTTGACGGGGGGGGGTCTGACTTTTTATGACGTCATGTGACGAAGGAGGGGGGGGGGGGGGTCAAAAATCGTCCAAAATCACGTGACGTCATTTACGGACGGCCCCTAAGTATAAATGTGTCGTAACCCTCCACCACCCAACACCTTTATAATGAATGATAACTGCCGGGACCGTTCATAGGTCCGGCTTTTATACAGGAGCCGTGGCTCACTCCGCCCCCCCGGCCACGCCTTCCTTCTCGAACCTTCCAGCAGGACCTGGTGGTGACGTCATCCCCCAGCCCTCTCCTGGGGTCTGGGGTCTACATGTCGTTCGGCATCCCACTGGGATTTTTGCACACAGCGTTGGTTACTTGATACAGCAAGCGTGCTGTGACGGTCCCACCTGAAGACGGAAGCTTGTGTTGCCTCCGAAACGTCGTGATTTTTATTTTATTTTACTTTTATTAATTTTAATTCAAAATTTTTACCTACGTGACTTTACCGAAAAAACCTAAGAATTTGGTGTACAGTGTTTTTTTCTGCAATATTTTGCTGTCTTTTCTTGGATGTTCTGTTTGCACCTAGTCACATATTCACTTTAAGATGTTTTCTTGTTCATGTTTTTGTTTGTTGTTTGTTGCGGTTGCACCCGATTCAAGATCCGAATGGCTCACAGGGCTATACCAAATAAATAAACTTGAAACTTGAAACTTGATAGGGGTAACCGTTGGGCTCTGTGGGCCATAGTCCCTTAACCCTGGGGCTCAGCCCCTCTTCTGCCCCCTATTGGCATGTGACTGGTACTACCGGCTAACTGCATGGAGATGACGCATCTTCGCCCAATAATACATTTACATCTGTACGCGATCTAACCTAAAACAAACCTCTATTATGGATGATATTGGTCGTCAAAGCCTATTACTTGTTAAACCTAGATGATGTAGAGCAGCACGTGTTTTTATTACAATTTATTGGCCCATTCCTGCAGTGTTGGGGGAGCGTGCTCTTTCCAGTTGGCTATAATGGTGCAGTGATTAAACATTTTGGAGTAATGTATGTGGCGCCCCATGGAAAGACCGGCGTGGTCCATCATTTTGAGGACCCTAACCCCTGTCGCTGTCGATGATTCCATCGTGCCACGAACTCTCCCCTTGGCTGCGGTACCC